CCTCCTTGCTGGGCACATGTCTGAACGGAGTGTGGGTGTCAGCTGTGCTTTCAAGAACCACCACATCAATCGACACAGTCGCTGACTGGGAGGCTTCTCCGTTGTCACAGACTGACACCACCAAGGGGTGGCTTTTCAGGTCATTGTCACTCATTCGCCTCTTGGTCCGAATCTCCCCGGTGCTGGTTCCGATCCTGAAGAGGTTGTTGTTGCCTTTGGGCTCAGACAGGTGATAGGAGAGCAGTGCATTGTAGCCAGAGTCTGCATCCACTGCCCTGATCTTTGCCACAAAGTATCCCGCTTCAGCAGAATAGGGGATGCTCTCACTGTTTACGGAGCCGTGCTCGGAATAGGGAGCCAAAATGGCTGGGCTGTTGTCATTCTCATCCAGGATAAAAACGTTTACGGTGACGTTGCTGCTGAGCGGAGGAACGCCAGAGTCTGTGGCCTGAACTTTGAATTGAAACATCTTTACCCTCTCATAGTCAAAAGACTGAAGAACAGCTACATCTCCACTTTCTGAGTTAACATTTATCATTGTCGTTATTGGTAGCGGGTCTGTGCTACTTTGCACAAAGGAGTACATCACATGCCCATTTTGATCAATGTCATCATCCACTGCAGTCAGTCTATGTAGAACTGCACCTGGTGGACTATTTTCTTTGATGTAAACATTAATGAGGGGCTCTGAGAAGTGAGGCTTGTTGTCATTAACATCTGAGATGCGCACATTAACAATACTGGTGCTGGACAGAGGTGGAATGCCTTCATCGGTTGCAGAAATGCTGATATTGTACACAGGTATGCGCTCTCTGTCAAGAGGACCAGCAACAACCAAAGAATAATAATTCTTATAATTTGACTCAAGTTTAAAAGGCACATCATTATTAATTTTACTGTGCACGAGACCATTTTTCCCTCCATCTTTATCTAATATTGAAACAAGAGCAACAGCAGTGCCAACTGCAGCATCTTCTTTTACTGTGTGCAACAGTGATGTGACTGATATTTCAGGGGCATTGTCATTGACATCTAAAACCTCAATTAATAATTTGGTATGAGAAGTTTTGGGAAAAACAGCCCCATCACTGGCTTGTACTCGAACCTCAAAATTGCTCCTCTCTTCAAAATTGAAATTCTGTATGTTGGTAACAGTCCCACTTGTTTTGCCAATAGCAAACATTGCGTTCTGATTCCCTCTGTCTGCTTCAATGAAAGAATAGAACACTTGTCCATTTTCTCCTGCATCTAAATCAGTTGCATTTAACCTTATTATAGATGTACCAATCTCAACATTTTCATAAACACTAGCTTTGTAAAGATTTTGGCAGAATATAGGTGGGTTATCGTTTACATCCAGCACATTCACAACAATAGTCATTGTGCCTGATTTCGGTGGTGTTCCTCCATCAATAGCAGTCAATGTGAGTGTGATCATGGCCTGCTTTTCTCGGTCTAAAAGCCTCTGGAGCACCAAATCTGGTGTCACACTTCCTCCTTTATGGGCCTCAAGAGAGAAATGATCATTTGGACTTAGCTTGTATGAATTTATTGTATTTTTGCCAACGTCTGCGTCATGAGCTGCACGCAGGGGAAATTTTGTGCTCAGTTCTGTGTTTTCTGGAATATTTAACACCTGTGATTCACTAAAGAATGATGGATAATTATCGTTTACGTCCAAGACAATAATTTCAAAACGGTACAGTTTTAACGGATTGCTCATGACGGCTTCTACACTGAGTGAACATTTGGCTTCATCTCGGCACAGTTCCTCTCGATCTATTCTCTCATTCACATAGAGGACACCAGTCTTCAGGTTTACCTCAAAGTATTTCCTCTTGCTTCCCGCAACGATCTGAAACATGCGGGATTCCAAATCCTGCACGTTTAGGTTTAAATCCTTCGCAATATTTCCCACAAAGGTTCCGACATTCACCTCCTCCGCCACCGAGTAAGAGAGCTGGCCGCACACGGCTTCCCAGAAACACTCCAGCAGCAAGAAGAACAAATGCATCCGCACAGAGCTCCACTTGCTCGATGGACGCATCTTTCCATGCACGCGAATACGGCATAAAGGTAGAAACGGTGCAAAAATTACTCTCCGCTTGCTATGAAGGAAAAATTTGAACAAACTGATTTAATTCTTCCGTATAACCATCTCCTTCGCATTAGTCTCTTCACCCACTGAGCTTCTTTGTTCAATGACGAAAAGCATCACGTACATTTGGGAGGAGCCCCGCGCCGCGGATGACGGCGCTTCAATGTCATGGTCCATTGTGCTCTCTAGTGGACGTTTGTTTGAACTACAACTAAAATCACAACAAAGCTCCAAATAGATCGACAATCGTAGGTCCAATGCATAAACTAGTTTAAAAAAAAAGAAAAAAGTTTTAAAAAAGAACCGTTAGACTGCAGAAAATGATGTGATTTTCATACATGTCACTTTAACAGGTCTCCACCTGATAGAATGTTGTGAACATGACATCAATGATGTCATGATTTATAACTGATATATAAATCGCTCAGATAATATCACTTTCTTCAAGATAAACAAACAATAAATGCCAGCATTTTTCCACAAGAATATTCCCTCAAACCACCCCGTCCACCACCATGTATCTGTCGAGTCGGTAAGGTTAAAAATGATAAATTTGAATGGATCTCCTGAATAAATGTATTCATATATGATTCTGACAAAACGCGGATTCAAAAACTCTCATGAAATGTATTCAGAACCACGCTTACCACATCCCACAAGAGCAGACTGTCAACTCAGCAGCGATTACAAAAGAAAACCTGAGCACTATAATATTACATCGCCTGTATTTAAATAAGTGCGAACTCTGATATGGGACAGTGATGATGGATAAAATCAACCCCCTTTTCTCATGCTCAACGAATTCCATTGCCAACATCTCTATATTGTTAAATTTATCTTATCAGGGATACACAACATATACGTACAGCATACAGAAAGTAAATCACATTATTTTTCTTTGCTTGAGACATCGATTTCATTTCAAAACAAAGGACTCTTACGGAAGTGTCGAGCTGCCAATGTGGAGGAAAAATTTTGGGACGAGCAAAAATATTCAAACATATTTGCGAGTACGTATACGTTCGAATGTACTCGCAAATACACGTTCAAATGTATTTTTAGGCTAAATACGACAAACGTAGCATTTTCCCATAATGCCACAAGGTATTGATGTGCGCATGGTCGAGTAAAAAAACTATTTATTTTACCAGTACACTAAAATATAAAAAGTAAATATTGTTCATTCGTAAGTCTATGGTTTTATTTATTAGATATATTTATTTATATCTGGAGTAAATTATTTACGTTCAGCATTTTTTTTTGCCCATCATGCCACGCGACATTGACTTCTGCTTGCGCAAACCCTGTGGCATCAT